ATTCGTATCTGCTGCTGCTGCTGCTGTTGCTGTCGCTGCCAGTTGGCCGCATCCGCATCGCCATTTGCAATTCCATGTGCGGTACATTTCCGGTTTGTCGGAAATGCATTTCCGTTTCCGCCATCGCCAATGTTTGCCCACTGTTTGGCTGAACATCAATTGGGTATTTTGACAGGCATTTCACAAAGACCACCGCTCCCATCCCATCCATTCAGTCGGCGCCCCAGAGCCTCAGAGTAGGAGTCACCCGCTAATGCACTCAGTTGGCCATTCAACCAATTTGGTTACACGATTTTAATGCAATTTATTTCACAGCATTGGCCTCGATTGGCCGGCCATCGTCCGGCCACTTGTGCAACTGATTTGATTTTTATTAGCATTTTATGCGATTTGCTGAAGTGTCCATGAAACATGGAATTGCCGTTGACCACTTCAGACTGAAAATTAAATTAAACACGATCGCAGGTCTCGCAGTACGAGTGCCCACTCTGTGGACAGCCGTCCGACTCTGCCTCCGCCTGTCTCCATCTGCCATTTGCCAGTGTTGACCCTCTTTCACAGCCCAGAGACACACTTTCTGTGGCCACCCACCGCAATAAAGCGCTCAAACACTGTCTGCCCTATCGAATTTCACACTTTTCCGCGCAACGCGAACAAAGGAAAACATGGAAAACCCAGCGGGCCACAAAAAGAGGCAATCAATGAGGCGCTTTCACCACACCAACTGCTGGTGGAAATTCATCTCCATCTGTATCTGCATCTATATGGAATATCTGCAACCGTGTCTGCATTGTATTGGATTTTTACTCTTCCATGGCTCTTAATATATCTTTCGAAATACTTTTTGCATGCCGCACAGCCATTTGGCACACCAGAGAGCCCGTTCTGTTGTTGTCTTTGATCCAACGATATCTGATGAGTCACGTTTCAATAAGGATTACACAGAAGTGAAGCGGTGAATATTCGAAAGCACATCTTTATGGAATTTCCCTCCGATTTTTCACGGATTACAGATATGAGGGCCAATCAAAACTAAAAGAATATTTGTAATGGATTACACAGAAATATTCATTTAATTAAGGAAGCTTCAAAGATGCTCCAACTTGCAATTGGAATACGTAGAAAGTGGAAAATAAATTGCCTTCTTTTTGGAAGTATATTCTCCTGAAAATGATATAAATGGAACATTTCAAGGGAGCTACCACAAATATGCATTAATTGGGTTAGTGGGAATGTCTAAGAATGTTTATTACTATCTGTGCTGAAAATGATATGTCTAATAATCCCTCAATAGATGAGGAGATTCCTACAAATTAAAGGGGATATTAAATTCCTGAAACAGGGGTATCCCTCGACAGCACGCCAAGTCATAGAGACAGAACGCTTCCATTAGTTTCGTCTGGCTTCCAATTCAAAGCCTGATAATTGGACATAATTATGGGCTGGACGGGTCGGGCCTGAACCGGGTCTGGCCCTGTCAGGTCTGAGCTGCATTCACTTGGCATGGAGCCGTGAGTGGAGCGGATGGGTCAACCGCAGCGGGGAGCATCTGCCAGTAGCAGATCCGCCGAGGGCATGGAGTGGGGATATGCTATAGAGCGAGTGCAGATGGGAAATTGGAGAGCCCAATAAATATTTATTAGGACCGCCTGTGCTTGCCAAAAATTAAATTTGTTTTCATTAAGCCAGACAAAGCCGTTTAAGGTGGCAAGAAAATATATGCTCCGTCTCCTGGACGACTCTCCTCCCCTCTGGCAAGGAGTTGGCGCTGCCGCGAAAATATGCTTAAAATTAAAAAGGGTATCCTCTCTCTCTGGGGTATCTTCAGTGTCAGGCTCGTCGTCGCCTTCGTCAGCTTTGACGTGGCCAAAACATTTTGCCGGCTTAATTGTGCGCAAGCCAAGCAGATAAAAAAACGAAAATGAAAAAGTTTTCGGCCCCAACCGCCAACCGCCAAGAAAAGGAGGGGAAAACGCGAAACAAAAGCGAGAGAAAAAGCGGGAAATGGCAAAAGAAAAGGAGCATTGAATGCTTCAATCGGTGGAGGCGAAAAAAGTAACGAAACAAAACAAAATTAAGGTAAACAATGCGAAAAAAAGATATAGTAGCTGTGGCAAAGCCGATTTTTTGGATACCCTTCTTAAACAGATATCGATTTCAGAGCTGAGGGAATATTTATGCCATATTTGATGGCCCAAGAGTCTGGTTGAAACCAAAATACCCCGTCCACAAGGGTATGTAGAATATGCGACAGGGTTCACAGACAAAGTAGAAAGGCAAACAAAGCCCTGGACCCTGGTAGGACACGGAGCCAGGGACAAGTCCAGGGCCAGGGCCAGGGCCTGGGCCAGGGACAGAGACCGAGACAAGGATGTCAGTAAACAAAATCACAATTAACTGAAAATGACAAAAAATAACAACGCCAAAGGAGCAGCGAGCAGCGAGCATGTGACAATGGCGGACGGCAGAGGCAGAGGCAAAGGCAGAGCGTTCTGGGCGTCAAGGATATGCGTCTCGCCTTAAAGTGTTAAAAAAGAGACACCCAGGACATCCCAAGGTCTCTGGGAGAGGCAAATGAGAGAGGGGGCGCGTGTGCTCGTCATAAAGCATTTTAATTGCCGTTCCCCCACATTCCGTACTATGGAAGAGGGTTTTCCGGCTTTTCCCGGGAGAAATGATTAGGGGAGCTTAATACTCGTACCCTCCGCAGTTTATTGAAACGGAAACAAAGACAACGACAACGATGAATATTTAGTGATTAGAAAAGGGTTTCTTCGGCATCGGCTTCTTGCCCTCGTCATTCACCATCAGACATTTCTGCACGGCCTGGTGGAAGTCAGTGCAGAGCGTCACGTCGCACTCAAAGTCGTAGGTACCCACCCGAATCGGCTCACTGCAATACTGATGATTGTTTCCACGTTCTTCTCCGTCTCCGACAGTGCAGCTGGCTGCTTTTGACAAGGACTCCCTTTGGTTGGCTTGAACTCCTGGCAGATAGTCCATGCTGGTCGCTCGGGAATCTGCGCAAACCTTCGAGCCTTGATGAAACATTTCACTCTCAAAAGGAGGTACTCACCTGTAACCGCACAGTAAAATTATCGATTCGATTTTCCAGAGACTATGCCTGCTCCACGCGAAGCGAAGCGAATGCCTCGAATGCCAACCGAGGTCCCAAAGGGAGTCTCCATCACATGAACATGATATTTCCCGGAGGATCTCCCTCCGGCTTTGTGTCAGTAGCTAATTTATATTGCATTGCTATTGGCATTGGCACTGCAGTGCCTCAAAGCTAATTGCAAACTGCACTTGGCGGCAGGAGCAACCGTCAATGCACTGGCAAGGTATTTCACGGGACTCATAATCGTAATTTGTTTCTCTTTCGTGTTTGCCTTTACCGTTTTCTGCATTAATTACGAAACACACAGTCGAAATAATGAAACGCAAAGAAAAAAAAAGCACTCAACAAGCAAGGGATTTCCCCGAGAGGAAATGAGGGAAGTGCTGACTGGCCTTTATGCCCTTAAGGTATCTTTAAAGGTAGCCCAAATTTGCAGATTAGCTTGCAAATCACCTGGATTTTGGGGAGGGCTCTTCGAGTTCTTTGAGTTAATTGTGGGACAGGAAGTTGCTAAACAACTTGGGAGCCCATTGCTCGAGGGCAGTCTTAATGGTTCAATCTTAAATCTTACCGAAACTGAATTTGTTTAAAGAGTTCTCCGAGCATATAAATTTCTAGGCAACAAATTCTAAAGCAACGTTTGAATAACTCGAAATATACTTAGATTGAATTTCACCTTGCAGTATACGTACGTATAGTATGCATTTTATAGCCAAATATGCATTTTGTAAAACCATCTCTTGTGCATGTACATTTTATTAGTATAATATTTGCATAGATGCGAATCGTGAGCTGAATCTCGCATAGAAAAGTTAATCTTATCTTGGCATGGAAATAAATCCCACACAAATCTAGAATAAACTTCATATATAAAGATTAAGTATACATATATTATATATTCCCGAGGCTTTTGACTCCTCTACTCCCATTCTCAAGAGTCTACAAATGGGTGTATATTATTTGTAGAGTATTTGGCTTTGGCGAGTGCAGCGGAAATGCTTTAATTGCCAGCCAGCATGCAAAAGTGTTTGGGCTTTTGGCTCGACTATTTTTGGCTTTTTGAGGGACGACTGAAAGCACACACATCGAGCAGCAATTAGCCGTGCTGCCAGCCAGCCAGCCAGCCAGTCAGCCAGTCAAATGTTTAAGCATAATTCGCATTAGGTTTTCTGGGAAGGGAAGCCCATGAGGAGGAGGAGGAGGAGGAAGAGGAGGAGTGCCACATATGCGATATGCTCCCAGTTCTCAGTTCCCAGTTCATGAGGCAAACGGAATATTTCATTAAATTATTGCCAACCACAAAAGCGGCAAGCAGACACGACACTGAGGCAAATGCCGCTTGATTGATGCTATGTGATGGGATTGGGGAAAATTCGAAGGAAATTCTCCCCGTTTTGGGGCCATGTTCATCAGCAGTATACAATTTCCACTCACTTTGTTATGAATATTTAAGCAAATTATATTTGTTCTCTGAAAATTTCTGTCTATCTGTCATTTCTGTGCTTACAGCAGGGGCCATGTGAATAGATGCGACAGCAGCTGATGCTTCTTTTTAGCTGCTGGCAGGAGCAGGAGCATTCGGCATGCTAATTTCATTTTGTTTATTGTTTTGGCTACCACTTAATTGGCCCACTCCCCCGTCCCCCGTCCCCCGTCTCCCGTCCCCCGTCCCACACCCATCACATCTGTGCCCCCCAACATCCCATCATCCAGTCATTCAGTCCGTACCCTGCTGGGCCACAGAAATGTTTATAAATCAATCAACATCAATAATGTTTCGGCAGGCAAGAGATGGATGGGCTAGACCTGCGGGAGGAGAGCAGCCCGCACAGTGCCAATTAATTTTCCCTCTTTGAAGCAAGTTTTGACGCACTCTTGGGGGTTTTCTCTTCAACTTTTTAATACAGAAAATGTGTAATTCGGAATTTGGGAACTATTTTGTTGTATGCAATCCAAGTTTAACTCAGAATTTATATCTAGTGGCTATTTCTGTTGAGCGATGACTGTCTTTCATTTGTTTGAGGCTCTAAATATTGTAGCGCCGACGGCAGTCCTTCATGGCCTCGTTGAAGCCCTGGCAGACGGACAGGTCACTGTTCTCCTCGGTGCACTTGAGAAACTGCCGCAGCTCGTAGGCACAAGGACCATCTTCGACAAATTCGCCGGAACGCTGGGCCTGCACTGGCACAGGAGGCGCTGCCTGCTCCCCCTGCTGGCTCGCGGGGACGGAACTTCCGCGACCGCCGCCGAACAATCCAGTAATGCCGGCGCCCACGGCATGACCCACGGCCGATCCGGCCGCCACGCCCGCTGCAGTGGTGGCCATGTCCTTGAACATACTGCCTGGGCCACGTCCCTTGGTTGCTGCCTCCGGCGCGGAAGCTGCGGCTGCAGCAGGTGTTGTAGCTGGTGTTGTGGCTGGTGTTGCAGCTGGTGTTGCAACTGGTGTCGACTCCTGTTTGCGTGGCTGCGTTGCTGGAAGACGGCTGCTGCTGCCTCGGGAGCTGGGAACGGGAATCGTGCAGCTGCTGTTGCTCCTGGAGCTCTGGCGACGAGCCGATCCGCCGGATTTATCTGAACGTTGACGGGGCATTTTCTTACTATATTTAAGGCCAAAATCACAGACAGAAATTGAACAAATTGATGCAATGTTAAAATTATTACTGCCTGCCGAAAACCAGAATTTCGAATGCTTGGAAATCACAAGGGATCTGATCTGGCTTCGGTATCTATAGACTCGAAGGGCACGGCCCACTCGGATTACAGAGGATTGTCGAGTCTGCTTTCAGTTCCGAAATTCAGATCTTTCTTCGGGGCAGGTCTTGGGTGTCCAGGAGCATCCAGACATTCGATTCTACTTTACGCTTAATGACTGCTTCATTGGATATTTGTGTCTCCAACCCTACCCCACTCGTCGAGCGTCTCATTACTTTTGACAGAGACTCGGACCCGGACTCGGACACGGACACAGCGGTAGCTGCCACAGAGAAATGTGGATTTCATTTGCATTTCCACTGTTGCCCAATATCTGTGGGCTGCCTCCGTTTCACGCTTTCAATTTCGGACTCAGAGTCGTACTCGAGTCCGTGTGTGTCTGCGGGTGATTGCACTTCGGATGAATTAGCCTAGTGCGGCCATGCATGGCCATGGTGCGTATGAGTAATGTGGCTACAAGGGAAGATAATTGGCGGCACTCACTTCCATTCTACTCACCTAAGTGGCTGCCTATTACACCTCCTTCTTTGATGCGACTGAAAGAGAGTGCTGCCTCAATTACAATCGAGGCAATTTTCGACCAAAGACTTTCCCCAAAAACACTATTAAATTTGCACAATACTCGTACAGCTCTTGAGCAGACCTGCCTTAAAGGATACCATTCATAACTGCAGGACTGCTGGCCTGCTGGACTCCTGTAGAATGGAAAACATTTCGAATGCGGTAAATTACAGTTAACGATTTTGTAGCACAGCAATTTGCCTTATCTCTAGATTTCTATCTATGGTTTGCAAATGTATTTCCACGTAGCTGTCCCACCATTTGTTTTGCCTGCCGTGCCACGGGTAGGCGTCTAGCCACCCAGTCCTGGCCCTTGTGCAGACCCCATCCCCCCTTACGGTCGGTCATTGGCTAGAACGAAACGAAAGCCATTGTGGTGGTCGGCGTGTGTGCTTTGAGGCCTGGACAGCGAATGTAGGAGCCGCCATAAAGGTGTTGAAATAACTGCTGCACAAACGGAGTTGTTTTTCCATTTCTTTTTGTTTGCCTTCCCTTCTGTGATTTTCTTGGCTTTTGTTTTGCGATTGCAGCTTTTCCAGCCCACCAATTGTTATGCCGTTTTATGGTTATTGTTGTGCTGGTGGCGGGTCGCAATGCAAATTGCCGGCACATAATTATGTCGCAGCCAGAGCCAAGGAATGGCAAAGGAATACCGACCTAACACTAAACTTTGCTGCAAAGAATGGACAATGCGGAGTAGCACTAGTTTGGGGCATCCCAGGGCAACTTTTTGTGGATTGTTTTTTAGGTGTGAGAATTCGGAGAACTTTTCCATGTCTAATTAGCAGTGCAAAGGACTCTTCTAGCAGCAGCAACTAATTTATATAAAACTCACTTTGGCTCCTGCAGGCAATCGAAATAATAGAAAGAGAACTTTTAATTTGCCAACGCCCTTTTGCCGGCAAGGGGACACGCAATGGAAACACGGAAAACTTTTAGAGAAACAGAGCCAGAGACAGAGACAGAGGTACCCACTCGTAGTGTGACCGGACTGTTCCGTACCCTCGGCCAAATCAGATACTAATTGCATTATCCTTGTGTACTGATGATGGCTGGCCCACGATAAGAAAGCAATTTCAATCTGCCACCACTCCAGGCATCCAGCAATCAATGAAAAGTCTCTTGAATGGCGGAGCGGATCCTTTTAGGGTATGCGCAGGGGTGCGACTGCACTGAGCTTTCATCGAGTGTCAGGTCCGCCTGCAGTTGCATTTCCTGCTCCTTGACTAATGATCGCGTGCCAATGCGATGGCAAACTGCCACTTGGACAGTCGGAAGGTCCTGAGAATGGAGCCGAGAGTACTACTCACCAGCAATGCAAGCAGTGCAAGCAGTTCACGCACGTACTCCCCCGGAGCTCCTTGAGGACAGGCAAACAAATGAATTTAAGATTTCAGCGGGATCGAAGCCATTTTTTAAGCTCAACAAACGGAGGGCCGCTCTTAATTATATTTCCATTTCCCATTTCTTTTTCCCTTTGCTTATTCGGAAGGAAAACTTTGCCCTGAACCTAAGCTGAAAATTAATGATTGCACTTTCGAGTGAGCGCCGAAAGGCGAAAGGATGGATGCACGGGGACTTCATCTTACAACTTTGTAATGTGCAGATTAAAATTTGTCTGCCTCTTGGGCAGCCGTCTTCTGCTTTCTACTTTCTACTTTCTGCTGAGTTTTACACTTTTTCTTCTTTATGAAGTGCGCGGCGAGAGCTGCCCAGAGGCCCATGCCTCAGAGCCTCCTCTTTAATGTTTAAGTGGCCGCAAAAGAAGTTTTTAATGAAAATAAATCATCTGCACACTTGACTGCCTACACAGCGCATACATAAGGACTCCTACTAACCTACTCTCTCTGAGGAGCGACGACTATGCTCCACTGCCACGCAACTGCCGTTCCACGGGGGGATTTATGGACTCCAGTTTGACATCCAATATAAATCAGGGCCCCCGGCGACACTCTGGCAATGCAATTAGGTACTGTTCCAAATTATACCAGATCACGAAACGGATTCCCATGCCCCCAGGGCACGGGTTAGAGACTAATTGGGTCCAAGGGCCATTGCGATAGACAATTCCTCTTCATGGCCCTGCTCCTGTTCTGGCCACAGGTGTTTATTTAATTAATTTACATAAATCAACTATACTACACACACTCGACTCGACTCGCATACGTTAGGGCTTATCGTTTGTGCATTGCATTTAATAACTAATTAATTTTAAATCAGCTTTTTGAGCTCACCAAATTATTTACACTAATTAAACGAAGGCCAAATCCCAGCGAAAATAAACAAAGTTAAGCCTGAACGGATCGGAATGTTTGTGGCGGTGCACATTGCTCATTGCACACATTGCGTATGCGCAATGTCTGGATTACACTGGCGTATACTTAATCAAAATGTTATCGTCCAACTCTTTGGAGCACCAATGTTTAAGGTGTTCTTTAAATATTCACTTTTACCAGGTCCGGTTACTAATTGCCAACGTCAGCAGCAAATTCCTCACTCGAAAATTTGGCAAAATAAATTGCAAAAAGGCAAATAAATAATGCACACTTAAGGCGGCCAAGAAAAGCAGCCGTGACGGGACGGGCAACATGCAAATAACGCCCGGCTTTTTCGGCCCCGGCAAATCACTTTGAGTTATTGTATTTAGCCTTCAACACGGCCAAAAAGCGCAAAGTAAAACAAGTAGATACCTGAGACTACAGTGTCTCGACAGGGCGATACTTGGTACTCCTCGAGGGACACCACTCTGAACGAAGTTCTCGACCAGCACAGGGAGGAGGGACATCCTTTTATAACCAATTACTGGCAAAGAAATAACGGGTCCTTCTTAGACCTGGTTTTTCCCGTTCAGGCTGTAATAAATTTCCTTCTTTCGTGGCAGCCAACATACCCTTCAACCCGCACAAGTACCGTGTATAATAAATATTTTAAAGCTTGAACATGAACACACACTCAGACACTCCGGCACTCAGACACAAAGTCAGAGGCATAGGCAGAGGCAGAGGCAGTGGCACACGGGAAAGGTGTCTAACAGCCACGCACTTTGGGCGATGATTGATATGGCTGCCATGGGGCCGTGCCGAAGGGGGGAAGCTCTCCCAGCCAGCCCCTTTTCCTACCTCCCTACCACCCCACCCCCCGACCCCACACTGCCCAAATAAAGAAAACGTCGAGTGTCAAAGTTTTTGTGCGCGCTTAGCGCATTTGATGAATTGTTAAAAGAAAATCGCGCGTATGTGTAAACAGCATGGTCTACGACAAAGAGTGAGAGATTTTTGCGGGGGCGGAGTGACTGTGTGTGTGTGCTGTGTGTGTGAGTGTGAAAATCAACAGTGCCAGCCAAAAGGAAAGAAAAAAGAATGAACGTGCGACGTGCGAGGCTTTTGAAGCTGCCGACGACCGACAACCGACCAAATGGCGGAAGCCCCAACACCCCGACACCCCAACACCCCCAACAGCTGCTGATGATGATGGCGGCTGATGTCGGCAAACAGTCGTTGGGTGGAAGGAAAGCCATTGAAAAGGAAATCACTGACTGGTTAATGCCCTATCCGATAGAGAGCCCCTTTGCAGGAATGTCATTTGAACTTTAGAAAACATTTCGAAATTACGAGTTTCATTCGAAAGCAAACTGAAATGGAGAGACGAGTAAGGTCCTCGGGGAGGGAGAGTCGTCAAGGTAAGGGAGCGCCTGCAAAGGAATCCAACAAGAAATGGAAGGATTGCGGTCACGGCAAGACCTTGCACATCTCTGAGTATGGTCCTTTTGTGGTCAGGACTTGCCCAAAGAAACCCCTCTCGGAATACAAGTTAAAGCGAGCGCGTTACCCTATGATGCTGGGAATGTCCAGCCAAAAGATCAGCAAATCCAAAATAAGTTTAACCCTCGAAAAGCCCCCAATGCTGGCGACATCCTCCCAGTCAGAGTTGGATCTGTTCAAGTTGGATACGATGATTGATAGGATCTGGAGCGACTTGGTGGACAAGCACGCGCGACTGATCAAGGCCGGCAAGAGACCGGAGGAAGTGGTGGACAGTCTGAAGTCGCGCTACATTCAGCAAACTCAGCGGGTACTGCTGAATGCAGCGGGATCGATCACCAAGCCGGCGGTGGGAAGAACCCGAATGTCGAACCCAGCCTACGTCACGCACAGACAGCTCGTCGAGCAGCAAATGGAGTGGCTGTCCACGAAGAAGGTGGCCAAGAAGCTATACCTCCTGAAAGAACTCCTGGAGCAGAAAAGGATGCCCCAGGGCAAGCAGGATCGCCGGATGCTGGAGGAGTACGGGGACTCCAGCCAGCACTACAACGGCTTGCTGATGGTCTTCAACAAGGAGATTCCCGTGGATCAGCGCAACCACCAGATGGACACCATTTCGAAAACCTTCAAAACGATTATGGATCAACTGGACGACTACGCAAGTCGCTCGAGGATGCAAAGCTCCAATGGCAGCATCTTGAGCAAGGATAGCGACGGCCAAGAGCCTCAGCTTGAGGTGAAGACCCTAATTACCCTCGAGAACATAGAGGCCACGCGGGCCGAGTGGATGCAGTACTTTGCGGATCGCACGAGGACGCCCTTCGAGCAGAAACTGTCCGCCATCCGCCTGCAGCGTAAGGAAGCTCTGATTGCCGAGAAAATGGAGCTGAAACGAATCAAGATGGAAAAGCGGAAGGAGTTCCTGGACCACCGACCCCTCACCGAGCTATACAACAATCCCCGGCTCACCCATCGCATGCGGCAGGTGCTCGCGGAACGTGCCGAGCAGGCACGTCGCCAGGCCGCACAGTCACAGTCACAGTCACCGTCAGAGTCGGTTCATGTTCATCCGAAGAACAAGCCTCGACGACCGCGGAGTTCCGCGAAACGCCTGAGCATTTCCGATGTTGTGCTGAAGACCATGGAAGAACGCGGCAGCTGCTGCAAGTGCCAATGGATTCCGAGGTGGATCAAGATATCTTGAGAGGAGAGACGATAGATTATTCGACGAAAAATCATTTTGATCTTTGATCTTTTGTGCCGCAATATTTAAACTTTATTCAACAAATTAAGCAGCAAAATTCAGCAAGTTGGTATCTTATGTATCTTCTGTGTGCATTTCGTGATAAAGCAAACATAATTTCTTCCATAATTCTTTTCTTAGTCATGCCATCTGCATCCCCGATAGGCGTAGGGTATGTCCTGGCAGGCAAACCTTTGCTGGCTCTTCACTTTTAATCTGTCTTAGACTGACTAATACACACACACACGGACACGCACACATGCGAGTATGCATATGTGTGCTGTCATTCCCCCATTTTTCTCCCACACAGTCGCAGTCTTCCTGGTATTTACTTGGATTCTGCGTAGGCACCTAATCCTTGTCAGAGAAGCCACATTCAGTCTGTGTGTGTGTGTGCTCTTCAAGAGGCAAATGAAACGACACTAATACACACAGACGCACACACACGTGCTGACAGATACACCCACACGCTCAGACATCACATCAAATCATCAATCACATGCTTTGGTGATTCATTGAGAAGCTTTTCCTTTTTGCTTTTGGATGGATCCTCCTCGTGCCGCCTGTGCTTCTGCTGTTGACGCTCTCAAAAGGGGAGTAGGATGCGGCAGGAGGGGGTCTTCATTGGGCAATCATGTTAATAATCCCGCAAGATGTTGGCCACCAGCCATTAGCCTGGCCATTAGGCCTGTTATGCCTTGTACCTCCTTCCCTCTGCCCTTTTGCCAGGCAATTAATTTAAACAGTTTTAAAGCAGACAGCAACAGCAGTGCCAGAAACAATAATACGAAGTAGGGAATCGATGGATCCATTGGGAATCGATCCCAACCATCTCTCCGGCAACAAATTGGTTCGCTTCTCTCATCTGCCGAATACTTTCTGAGGTATGCAGTGCTTTCTTCCTGACCCTCACGCACATTTCCACGAATAAATTATTTGTATCCTTGACCCCCTCTGAAAAACTCCAAAGAGAACCAAAAGAAAAACTAAACGAAGCAGCGCGAAGCGAAACGAAACGCAACACTAAACACACACAAAGCAAAAAAGGGAATTTGTTTATTTTGATTTTTGGAAAATCAATTTTGGATTCGTGTTTATTTTCGATGTGGTTATCCGGCGAACAGCCATTGGCAGAGTAAACAAATCGACGCTTTTTTGCGCAGATGCCACAAACAGACACAGACACAGCCCTGCCCCTCCCTCGAAATGTGCAAAAGGTAAATATATATAACTAAAAAAAAATATATATATATGTGTACGTGTACGTGTACTCGGTACACCTGTCCGTATATCTGGGTTTTGGGTGCCATTAATGTCACAAGTGTAATTGTTTTTTAATCGCATTGATAGCAGCAGCAGCACCCGCCGCCAAAAGCAAATTCCGTTCACAAAATTATTTCGAGTGTGCGCTAAAACCACTTGAAAACCGCCAAGAGCTTCGAAACTGACCCAAAAAAACAAGAACAAGTGGGAATGGGAATAGGAATAGGAGTAGGTACTATTTGTACTCGTACTTGTACTCGTACTCGTGTGAGTGTCGTGCCGTGAGTGTTAATGCTCATAAACTAACAAAGACAAAGAGCGTTAGAGAGCGGCAGAGAACGGTAAAGGTAGAAGAGCAATTGACTTAAGCTGTCTACTTACACACACAAAAACTACAACTAAAATGCCGCTCACACACGAAAAAGAAATACAGCGAAAATGGCGATACAAAAATTTACATAATGCCCCGGCGAAGCGGCAAAAATGGAAAAAGAAATACGGCTACAGCGAGCAGAGTGTAAATGTGGATGGGTGGCAAGTGACTGGCAAATGGCAAGTGACACTTGAGCGAGTGCTTCTCGGAAAGCGGAAAAGCGACGCGCCGGAGTAATGGCGGATGGGTGACCATCAAAGGGATAGGCGAAAAGTGTCCCCCCCCCGCACAGGGGCATTCTGAGGAAATTAAACTCTGCTGAGGAGTGGAGAGTCCTACTTTGAAGGTTCGGCCAAGCTCTTCCCTTATCCAACGGAAAGTTAAAGTTTATATCTGCAAAACGAACAAGATTAAAGTTGGAAAATAATACCCAGCCCAGCTACTGTCCAACTACTTATCGTAGATACTCCAGATGTAATCAAAGTTCACTTCTAATGGCTGCTAATGGCGCCGCCCTCCATTTATGTACTTTTCCTGGCCCTCTTCTCCCTTGTGCCTGTGTTCTGTAAAATGCATTATATCAGTTTTGCTTGGGGCTCCGGCTCCAGCCCGAGCCCCAGCCTTCCCGGGATATCCTTATGTACCCCGGATACATATCTTTATGTGCATAAACTTGGTCATATAGATATGTTTCAGCAGCCTGGAGTCGGGTTTTAATAAGCACTGCCTGAGAGTGGAGAGAGTGGAGTGGTGGATACATGGCCATCAGTGTAGAACGTGCCACAAGCACCACATTGTAAGATTTGATAAAAAGCCATAAAAAGAAAACCAGAACCAGAACCAGAAGCATAACGGAGTCAAGACAAGGCAAAGCAGAGCAAAACTTAAGGCCAGAGACCAGGCCAAGACTATAAAATAATAATGAAGTCAATTTCAATGATGTTGTTGTGGCAGGAACATCAGCAACAACCACTTCCCTTAACCCTGAATCGCTGCTGTGGACAGCTGAGGGCAACAGCAACAGCAACAACAACACAAACATCATTATCCAAAGAAAAAACAAACAATGCCTCACGACACATGATTTCCTGCTGGCAGCCATTTCTGGCCATGTCTTGCCTTTCCGGTCTGGGCGTCGTCTTTCGTCGTTTCCCTAAAAGGTAGCGCTTAAAATTTCCCCCTTTTTTTTGGCAATTATCTTATGATTTTCATTGTTGTTTTCAACAAGTCCCTTAAATAGGCTACATATCAACCCCAAATTTAAATAGTAAGATGAGTAACGCCCATACATTTCTGTGGTGCAGGTGGTGGGGTCACGGCTCTCTTAGCACTTGAGCAGAGAGTAGAGTAGTATTTTTTAGAGTATCGAATGTTCGTCGTTCCGCTCCAGTTTTCCCTCCTGTTTGTTTTCGCTGTAAAACTTATAACCAATCGTACCTATTTACCACGCCCACGCCTCTACGATAGTTATTTAATGGCACACGAAAGTAAACATTTATGCCATTAATGGCAAAAGGTGACCAAGGCGAAGACGAAGACGGCTAAGAGCAGGACCGGGGAGGGCTAAAAGTGTTGGCTGAGCTGTCAGTTGGAAGATTGGTCGCATTTACGGATAGTAGTTTTCGTATTCACAAACTTTTCAAGGCGAACTTTTAAATGTTCTTTCTTGACCACGAAACTTGCGCAGAACTTCTAAAGGAGCAATCGAAATGCAGAAGAAATAAACTCGCAGCAGCTCTTTGAACAAACTGTCTCGTAATGCCTCTTCCAAGGAATAGTCCAATTATATTTCCCAATTCAGAGGCATTACATGGCAGTTTCCCCACTAATTGGGGGGCAGCTGTCCTTTTCGCCAACCTATCAGGAGGTAAAACAGGGCAAAATCAAGGCACCCCTTGAGTGCCTAAGCGTGTTAGTGTCAAGCGGCTTATCTATTATCATTCGGTTGCATTTCCAACGAGGGGCAGAGGAGCAGAACAGAACAGAAGAGAACATCGCCTAAGTAAACCTTTGTCTGGCAGGGTTGGGGCTTCATTACGCTTGATTTCTTCTGGACACACTCCAGAGGAGCTCTGTCCGAGCGTCATAATGCCTTGTGTCTGTGAGAAGTCATATGAATGCTACTTCCACTGCTGTTGCCAGCCAAACAATGGTTGCGAGCTCTCGTCATTCAGTCTGGGATTGGAATGGGACAGGGACTGAAGGCTGGGGCTGGAGGATGGAGGATGGCGTGCCGCCGACAGGATGTGGTCACAGGATGCGAACAGGCTGCCTGAGGACTTGGCTGGCACTGCAGTCGAGTGACCAGCCCAATGACTGACACCACAGAAGCAGAGCATGGCAGAGCAAGAGGAGCAGGCCACTGGGTAAACAGTTCTGGCCACATAATGAACTGAAGGACTGCCGTCTCCTCATCTCCACCTGTTGAGGGGAGTGCTGTTGTTGTTGTTGTAGCTGTAGCACACTTTTTGCACATTTACCAAGTTTATGTAATTTACACAGGCCCGTCAACAGTCACACGTCTCGCTGCGTCCTCCAGCCCCGCTCCCTCCCTCCCCCCGCATGCAGGGCTCTTTCCATTTAAATGCTCTAGTTCCTCCGAGCTGCATTCCGCCTGTGCTCCATGTTGCCAGTGTGCAAACCACAAGCGTTTCGTTTCGGTCTGAATAATTGACCAAAGGACGGAAAAAAAGGCGGACGAAAATGTATATCTAGAGGGAAAAAATGCTGGACCACAGCAAAGGCAAGGACAGAGCGAAACAAATGAATAAACAAAATTTATGAAGCACACCGCAGAGTTAAGCGGAGCGGTGTCCTCCGGGCTTGGGATTTAAACTCTGCATAAAAGATCTATCCATAAATCGGCTCTAACTATTGGGGGACTATCTAAGTGAAGGAAATGCATGGTTGATGGAAACCATTGAGGAGCCTAACCCATCAGAACTGTCCCTCAAGGTGAGACAGTACTGTTCCGGAAAAAACAAAACATATTTCCCCTTCATATTCGTATTTCAAACAAGAAAGTGGATAGCAAATGGTGTATGGATGGAGGGGGTGGGGGGTCGGTCTGTTCTGGCAGGCACGTAACTAATTTATTTATGTATTTCTCATTCGCCGCATTCACACAAAGGACCCTTCTGCTCTTGCCCACAGGCACATTAGCCACAACGGATGTTGGCCTTTTCATGCTCTGTTGACCGGACGAACGAATGAATCGTTCTGGGGGCAAACAAGTGGGACTCGACGAGTGGGGCTCGACGAGTGGAGCCGAGACTGACCAACCGAAATGTCAATAAATTCATATGAAGTTATCTCTTCCAGACAGCTTAATGCGTATTTTTATGGCCTAATCTAGAGTCAAATTTTTCTTGCGCTCCGCTCGAGTGGAATGTGCCTTTGAGGTCCCGAGCTCCCAAGTCCCAAATGCCGCCATAGTCAAATTCACAGACGCCCGGACTCACCTTGTGGCTCCGTCTCGTATATGTAGTGTGGTCTGCAAAGAGATGGAGAATAAAAAGACTGGTTAAAATGGGGTTCGATCATGGGATTATTAGAAAGTATCGAAGTGAAGTTTGGGTCTCGTTTCATATGGCAACTATCGAAATAAACCCACACATATGCCGACAGCTGATGAACCCAATAAAGCCAACTCGAAGTGCCACTCAGGACCAAATGACAGCCGAAATGTTGAATGAAATTGAAGGGCCGCACTCCCACTACTCCCACTCTTGTGCGCCATTGAAAAATATCTTATATTGAATCTCAGCGACCCAGGATGGTACTGAACATAAAAAAGATTAACGCCTGTGCAGGGTTCACATAGAAATGGGTCAGAGTGCGCCGTTTCTCCATCTCCATCTCTGTCTCCGCCTCCGTCTGCCAGCAAAGAGCCTTCGGCTGACAGCAGTCAATGACATGGACATGGGTGGGAAAATGGGAAAGCAGCTATAGATACTATATGTTCCCAGAAGTCCCATCCTGCTTCTCCCCTGCCTGGTCGCCTGCTTCCTCCAAATTCAATGTTTATTTTAAACATCCAGTCAGAGAGAAGGAGAGAGAGAGACCTCTTAGTGTGTCTCCTCTATCCTCTGTGTGGATCCCACAATCGCATAGCATTGCATTTCGGCTGTTGCATTATTTATAGTATTTGTGCTTGATTTTTTATGCCCTGGCATACGTGATTTCGCATAAATTGTATGGAACAACAAGTAGGAATAATATATATTTGCGAGATTGCGACCCAAGAGATACCGTGGAAAGTGTAGAAAGAAGAGAGATGGTAAATTTTGGTAAAAAAAAGAATCTCTTGCATTCTTTCCCATTTTTCAATACCTTCTCCATTTGCCAAGTTCTCTTGAGACCTAGGTTTGAGTATCTACAGATCCACGACTGGTGCCCTATGATCTTTAAAAATATATCCACTTTCTGGTGGATCTCACAGTATTTTCATTCTTAGCGTAATAATTATCCAATTATATGAGTATCTTTAAAATCATAGATTCCACAACATCTGAACCTTCTGTCAACTCGTAATGAATTTGGAAAAATTAGTAGGTAAAAGCTTTATCTACGAGTCTCTCAAAAATCAATGAATCAAAAATCAGTGGATTCCATAGCGATTCAACTATAATTTATACAATAAACATTACCATCTATTCAATTAGTATACCCCCGATCTCCACGAGGTACCCACGGGTACCCCAACAATTTCTGCCCCCGTAGGCAGAACAGACTTGCAGCTTAGCTTCCGCCTTCCTCCGTTCTTTTTTCCACTTTTGCATTTGCATTCGTGGTGCACATCGCAATCGCATCGCTTGTGCCGAAGCGGCAGAGTCGTCTATTATTCATGCCCCAGACAAAATTACTGGAATAAACGCAGTGAGCACGAAAGGCGATGCGGTAGCAAATAAATAAATGAAATAGCAATAAAAGGCCCCGGCTTTAACCCATTAAAGAGAAATACGTGCAGAAATACTTTCTAAATGATAGCAATATTTACTGACTGTCTGAACTTCTTCAACTATTTTTGGATATGCTATCTTTTGGCCTGATATCCAAGTAAATCATTTTATTTTCTTAACCATATCATCCGTTTGTAATAATTTATGAATGAATTGGTCGGCCTGTAGAAATGGGAGCATTTTTCATATCTGAGAGAGCATGGAAATCTCTGCTTCATATGGTTTTCTTCGACACAAAAGGGTACCGGTATTCCAAGAAAATCCTACTACACTTTCAGGCAGCAGACATATGTTTCGTTTCCAAGGAATACCGGAAAACTTAATCAAATTGTAATCTCTTTATCCAAAAGGGGAAACCTTTGGTTAATTTTCCCCCGTTCAAGGGGAATATCTGATCAGATTTCGGGCCCTTTTTGGTTCTGCCATCATCAGGGGAGGCGGTGATTGAAGAATAATCGAAGCCTTATCGTGGGGGCTGAGAAGGTTATTCCGAAGGTGTTTCCAGGTGTTGCCGCTGCAAATTGAATAAAATACGCAATGCGTAATCGTATGCCACGCACAGGACAGCCGAGCACGGAACACAGGACCTTGGCGGAAGTGGAGGCGGTGGCTCTGGTAGCTGTGGGCGTGGCGGTTCGGCTCATAAATACTACGCCAAATGTACTGTTAACTCGTATTTTTCACACAAAGTGTGAATGTGCCTTAGCGTGAGACACAGTTATTTAAAGCGAAAGAGAAGCAACATTACGCAACGTTCCAAAACAAACCAAAGAACAGACCCAGAAAAAAAAACAGTACCAGACAGACGCAGAGAACGAGAGACCGGCGTTAGGTAGCTCTGATGCCGGGGCTAACTGGAAAATTGTGTAAATAAACAGTATTAAATTTTCCGCTTGACGGCTAATAGGACAGCCGAGGCAGCCCGACACGCAGCCGGAGTGGGTCACGGCGGACAGCTAGAGAGGATATCGATTCCATACTGAGGAGCCTTCGAACTGCGTGTCCAGAGCGGCGGAGGAGGAGGGAGAAGATAGAGCGCAGCTCTACTTCCAACTAAATTTACAACAACTTAAGCCATAAAAATTGAAACGATAGCCGTAAAAATAAGGCTACATGGGGGATAGGCAACGGGAGTGGTCTCTCCGTGGCTCCTCCACTCTCCAAGAGGTCTCTGCACGCTATCTGCCCCTCAGCAGGCCGGCTGAAGGAGAGGGCATGGGAATGAGCATTGGGATGGGGCAGAGATAGGGGCAGGCAGTGGCAACGGCAACGGCAACGGCAACGGCAACTGCTGATGCTGCGTCTTGGCTGGGCGCCACTTAACGCCACTGACAGCCCCAGAGCCGCATCCTCCACTCTTATTCTCAACGTCTTATGCAAAAGTTCATTGGGGGCAACAGTTTTCTTTTTCGTTTTTCGTGCTTCTTTCAGGCTTACCTCCACCCTGCCATTTGGGTGGGTAACTTTCGTGGCGCACACACAGAACAGACGAAAACTTTGTGCGAGGTCGTGCTGCCAGATGAGGCGCCACGCCACCGAAGAAGAAAGCCACAAGGGGCATGTGGCAGTGTTTCCCCTGTTGTGTTGCTCTGTCTTAATTTGCTCGGGATGCTTGAGAACACGACGCTGGAGAAAACCAACCTGAACTACAGTGATCTCTGGCCACTGGAGGCATTCGCGCAGCCCAAGAGCCAGCTCCACTCTAAGCAGGCTCCACTGTGGCACATAAATTTAAAGCTGGCACAGCTCGTCCAAATTTTATGCCCGGTACTTGAGGAGAACGCATGTACTGGTGGGGTATACACGTTTTGTGGAAGAGTTGCAGTGTTGCATGATCCAAGGAAACCAAATCATGTTGTATTCCCCCCTCCAGCAAAAGTATTAGCAGGTCTCTTCCCCAGTAGTGGGTAGGGTATCTTCTAGTCGCCACAGTTGCTGCTCCCTTGTTGCTGCCACGCTTTACGGAGGCAGAGAGAGAGAGTCGAGAATCGTCCCCCCGCCCCCCTGGAGGCAAACACTTCAGACACGCATATGCAGAGACTTAGTTTTTGGCCCGGGGTTATCCAATCTTGAAGCTGACATTTATGCGAGTCTAAGTTCTATTAACGTACACCCACCAAAAACTGTGGCACTCACCCACACATCCGTTAGCCGCCTGTTCCTCGTGTGTGTGTGTGTGTGTGTGTGTGTGTGTGTGTGTGTGTTTGTGTCTACGTATGGGTATCCTTTGCCTCATCTGCAGTTTATACTCGTGTGTATGCCCCTGTTCGTGTTGACATTGATTGCGTGCGTGCGGCTGACAGTTGTCCGTACAAGCTTAATAGTAGTGCGATTTTAATTGAATAATATGCAAGATTCAAGACCCCAGCCTCCACCTCCACCCTGACCACGACCCTGGAACCCGCACTCCGCACCCCGGACCCCCATCAAAGACAAACAAAGAGAAGCAAACTAAAGTTGAAGTCCGCTTTGGGTGGAGGACACGATGTTTGTGCATATGACAGGGAAGGCATGTTTGCTAAGACCCCCCCTAACACTCTCTCTCTCTCTCGTTCGACAAGATTTAGTAGCGCTATAATTGTCAATGGGCCATTAGGACGATGTCCTGGCTGCCGACCGACCGAGCCCCCTGCGGTCATGTCAATCACTCAGCTGTGGGCCTCGGAGATGGCCGCGTGATGGAGTCTGATGGAGGCCTGGATTCCCTTTATTCATTCCAATCACAATCACAACTTTTGCGTCGGTCACGCATTCGTCTTTGATTCGGTCCTCGCCCATCGATGATTATGGGGACGATGATGAAGTTCCTTGGACTCTGGCCGCACATATTTTTGTTATTGACATCGAAGATATGGGGCAAACAAAGCGGAAGTCATTCCCGTTCCACTTCCCATCTATTGTCCGGATGCGTGGTGAATTCTCATATGAAAAATCAATAAATTATTGGATTTAATGTATACATAACTTGTATTATTATGAATTACTGCCGCTCCAGTGGCTCTGATCTGGCAGGTCATGCGTTAAAGTTGACTTTGATGGCCCTCCCATACCCCATACTCCCTGCTGCTTGTTCCAGGTCCTGCTCTGTCCAAGCATTTCCAATTAAAGCAGGACAGTCTCCTCCTGGCCAAATATTTGTGATGTTTGCGTAGCTGGGGCCATAAATTAAGTTAGATTTCAATTAGAGGCTTGTATGGACCTGTCCCACAAATGAATAAGGACCATAATTGAGGTCCAGTCTGTTGCATCTTTGTCGCAAATCAATTTCGAGGGCGACGACTGGTCTGCCGAGATGATCTCAGGCTAAGAAATTAATATCTGGCAGGTCAAAATACTGTAGTGAAATCCTTGGCACACAAAAAGCGGTAGAGTGAGATATATGGATGCAGGTCCCCCTCCCCATCGCCTTCCACCAAATCCTTGAATCCATGAGCCAGCAGAAATGTCATACGGAGGACCTGCTCAAAATATATGCAAAAATAAAACGAGAATAGCGGAGGAGCAGGGCACAAGAACGCGAACATGTAAAAAG